GTATTTTTGGTAGAGACGGGGTTTCACCATGTTGACCAGGATGGTCTCGATCTCTTGACCTCGTGATCCACCCGCCTCGGCCTCCCAAAGTGCTGGGATTACAGGCTTGAGCCACCGCGCCCGGCAAGGTGGGGAGATTTTAAACAGAATTTCACGGCTTAGCTTTTAGAATGCCAACAAGGAAAAATTAGGAAAAAAAAATACTCTTCCAATTTGGCAGTAGAAAATAAATACATTTCCAAGGAAAAATGTGGTAGATAATTGGTGAGTTACATAGATTTATAAAAATTCCAGTTTCTCTTTTTGCAGGGTAAAGTGGTGACAGTGAATATTTCTGTCCCATATTCTGTTATCTTGATTTTTGAGTTTCTGATAAATATTAGGAGATGAAACTTTGTACCTATTAGAAGTGTTTCCATATGACTGTTAACTACATAATTTTTCATAGACATAATAAAATAATACTTTTATTGTCTGAAAGGAATAGATGCTTTTGCTTTTCTAATTGAGGTATGAAATGTAAGCACCATAAAATTTTCTTTTTCTTTTTTTTTTGAGACAGAGTCTTACTCTGTTGCCAGGTGCTAGGCTGGAGTGCAGTGGCACAATCTCGGCTCACTGCAACCTCCGCCTCCCGGGTTCAAGTAGTTCTCCTGCCTCAGCCTCCCGAGTAGCTGGGACTACAGGCGCGCGCCACCACACCCAGCTAATTTGTGTATTTTTAGTAGAGATGGGGTTTCACCATGTTGACCAGGATGGTCTAGATCTCTTGACCTTGTGATCCGCCCGCCTCGGCCTCCCAAAGTGCTGGGATTACAGGCTTGAGCCACCGCGCCCAGCAAAATTTTATTTTTCTAAATGAACACTGTGTTTGAGTGATTTCACTGGATTTTTCAAACAGTTTCAAAAACCAAGGAAATAAATCTGACATGAAAATTAAAGGTTGAACCCAGTGACACCAAGCTTCGGCTAATATTAAACCTACCAAAAAAAAAAAGCTTATTAAAGGCCCAGTTAGTTCTCTCTGGGGAGCCTACCCTGCAGATATTCCAGCCTGCTCACCCCAGCCATGGAAGAAGGCCTTATCCTGAGAATATTTACAGAGCCTGAAAAGCTGGGGACGACAGGCTGATGCAGTTTAGGTTAAGATGAATGGAAACTGGGAGCCGCTTACCGATGATGAAGTTGTTATTGTTTGAGGCGCTTTCTAGACTTTATAAAATAAAAGTTAGACTTAGGTAAAAAAAAAAAAGAATGGAATTCCAAAAAATATTGCAATAAGTACCAACCATAAGATCTTTATGGCTTGTGAAGTTTATGCAGACAGACACTTTCTTTCCTAGGGAGGAGCAAACAAGATTAGAAAAAAGGTGGGAGGGAAATGGCAAATCTGACAAAATCAGATTTTAGACCAGAGAATGTTTTACACTGCCCCTAGGACTAGGCACCACCCTCAGGAACTTCACCACGGCATTTTGGATCCTAGTGTTTCTTGTCGAAAACCCGCCTGTGTGTCTACAAGTCTCCTGGCATTTCTCCTCCCCCAGACTCTGAATCTGCAGCAGTAACCTGTGTTCTCCACCAAGCTAGGGTTCTGGATCTGCTTATAATCCTGTTTATAATCTCAACTGCCTGCATGCACACAGAAATAAATCAGAGTACAGCCCCACCTGGGCCACATTCTGTAGCAAAAATAAACCCTTTCACCTACATTTTACTCTTTCACCCAGGGATTTTATTTTATTTCTTTTTGTTTTGTTTTGTTTTTGGGGTAGATTTTATTTTTCTATAAGCTTGTATTATTGGTGTGGGGTACACATGTGGGTTTGTTATACAGCTAAAATTATGTCCTGGGGGTCTTGAGTGCAGATTATTTTGCACTGAGGTACTAAGCATAGCCCCAAACAGTTATGTTTTCTGATCCTCTTATTCTTCCCACCCTGCGCCCTCAACTAGGCTTCAGTGTCTGTTGCTCTCCTTTTTGTGTTCATGTGTTGTTATTTTTAGCTCTCATAAATAATAAGGTGCATTTAGTTTTCTTTTTTGTTTCGAGACGGAGATGTGCTCTTTTTGCCCGGCTGGAGTGTAGTGGTGCGATCTTGGCTTGCCGCACCTGTAATAACCTGACTTGCACTGGTTTAACTGACTCCATCTTTTTTTTTTTTTTTTTTTTTTTTTTGAGACGGAGTTTCGCTCTTGTTACCCAGGCTGGAGTGCAATGGGGGGGTCTCGGCTCACCGCAACCTCCGCCTCCTGGGTTCAGGCAATTCTCCTGCCTCAGCCTCCTGAGTAGCTGGGATTACAGGCACGCGCCACCATGCCCAGCTAATTTTTTGTAGTTTTAGTAGAGACGGGGTTTCACCATGTTGACCAGGATGGTCTCGATCTCTTGACCTCGTGATCCACCCGCCTCGGCCTCCCAAAGTGCTGGGATTACAGGCTTGAGCCACCGCGCCCGGCCTAACTGACTCCATCTTAGCTGCAAAACCTGACAAGCTCTCTGGAGCCTCACCCTCCCTGCTGCAGCCCCTCAGGTGCATTATTGGGTCACGGGCACGCAAAGCGTTAAGAGTGGTTCACACTGTTCACAGTACCTGTAACTATTGTAACCACATCCTGCTTGGCAAGTCTACCTGCTACTGTGAATACCTTCCTTGGTGATTGATTGTATGGAAAGTTCCCCCTGCTACCCCCCTTCTTAGTGATTGTATGGAAATACCCTTAGCAACTAACAATCCTGGGAACCTCCTGCCCCCTGGTTACCAGCTTCTCTAACTTGCTGCTCTGCTTCTGTAAAATTCTGCTTTAGCTAGGCTCCCCCTCCCCTACCTAAATCAAGGTATAACAGGAAATCAAGACCCTTCCTTGGGGCCAAGAGATTTTGAGCATGAGCTGACTCTCGGTCGCTGGCTGATAAAGGACTCTTAATTTGGAACTCAGAGCATGGCGCATTCCTCCTGACTCACTTGGTTACATTTGGAGGCGCCAGCGAGATATTGTAACAATTGGGTGTGGGCCAGACTCGCTTAGTTCCCCCAGACTCAGTGGCAAACTATAGGTGAGGTGCCCCCTGAGACGTTCCAGGGCCCCAAAGGTCACCATCTTCCGGAGGAGATTGGATCGATCACTGGCTTGCCCACAAAATTATTCTTCTGAGTCCTCAGTCCTGCTCCGCGGAGAACGTAAGTCAGGCCTGACCTTGTTATTCCTGGAAGTCACAGGAGTCATCCAATTGGTACATAGCCAATTATGAGCTTCCTGGGTCAAATGGTAATTCTGTTTTTAGTTCTGTGAGGAATCACTACACTGTTTGTTTTCATGAGACAGTTTTGCTCTTATTGCCCAAGATGGCATGCAATGGCGCAATGTCAAGTAACTGCAACCTCCGCCTCCCAGGTTCAAGCAATTCTCCTGCCTCAGCCTCCTAGGTAGCTGAGATGACAGCACGTGCCACCGCTCCTGGCTAATTTTGTATTTTTAGTAGAGACGGAGTTTCTCCATATTGATTGAGCTGGTCTTGAACTCCCGACTTCAGAGGATCTGCCTGCCTCAGCCTCCCAAAGTGCTGGGATTACAGGCATGAGCCACAGTGCCTGGCATGCCACACTGCTTTTTAACAATTATTGAACTAATTTAACTCCCAACAACAGAGTATAAGCATTCTTTTTTTTTTTTTTTTTGAGACGGAGTTTCACTCTTGTTACCCAGGCTGGAGTGCAATGGCGCAATCTCGGCTCACCGCAACCTCCGCCTCCTGGGTTCAGGCAATTCTCCTGCCTCAGCCTCCTGAGTAGCTGCGACTACAGGCACGCGCCACCATGCCCAGATAATTTTTTGTATTTTTAGTAGAGACGGGGTTTCATCATGTTGACCAGGATGGTCTCGATTTCTTGACCTCGCGATCCACCCGCCTCGGCCTCCCAAAGTGCTGGGATTACAGGCGTGAGCCACCGCGCCCGGCTTGGTCTGGTTTCTTGATATCTTGAAGGAAGATGCTGCCACCTCCTGGTTCTGCAGCTTCATCAGTTTCTCGGCATGTTCCCTCTCCTCGTGAGATTGGTGAAGAAAGTACTTGGCAAAGTTCTTCAAAGCCACACCATCGTGGTCAAAGTAGTAAGACATGGACAGGAAAACATAGGAAGCGTAGAGGTCCAGGTTGATCTGGCAGTTGATGGCGGCCTCTGAGTCCTGGTGGTGGTTCTGGCGCACCGGAGAAGGAGACCTGGTCGTCATGGCAGCGGCTAAGGAGAGGCTGCGGCTGGGGGAGGCTGCGCGGTGCTGGTAGAGGCCGTGGGGGGCCTTGGGGTGGTCCTAGGGCGCGGTGTGGAGGTGACTGAGGGCTGGCTGTGGGCGGCCGGCCGGGGTGGGGGACAAGCGCCGAGTTCCATGCAAGCACTGTGAAAGCAGGAAACCGCGGTGACTCTCCGTGAAGAACATCTGGCCTATTGTGTGTGTGTGTTTTTTTTTTTAATTTCTCCAATGATGAGTGATAACCATTTTTTTATATACGCTTGTTAGCCACATCTGTGTCTTCTGTTGAAAAGCATCTATTCATGTTTTTTGCCTTACGTCAAATTAGAAATTTTGCCTATAGCCACTTGGTAAAAGTATTTGTGTGTGTGTTTTTCAGGGACCATTGCAATTTAGGGATGTGGCGGTAGAATTCTCTCTGGAGAGGCATTGCCTGGATACTGAACAGTGGAATTTGTATAGGGATATGATGGAGAACTACAGAAACCTGGTCTTCCTCGGTGAGGTTGAATACTTAATTCATAATACACCCTAAATGTTTTATTTCTCTTTTTTTGTATAATGTTTTTTGGTAATATATTCTTTGCATGAAAGAGTTTCAGAAGCCCTTCTGCCAGAAAATCTTCAGAACTTGCTCACTTAGAAAACAATTTCTTCTGCTGGGCGTGGTGGCTCAAGCCTGTAATCCCAGCACTTTGGGAGGCCGAGGCGGGTGGATCACGAGGTCAAGAGATCGAGACCATCCTGGTCAACACGGTGAAACCCCGTCTCTACTAAAAATACAAAACATTAGCTGGGCGTGGTGACGCGTGCCTGTAATCCCAGCTACTCAGGAGGCTGAGGAAGGAGAATTGCCTGAACCCGGGAGGCGGAGGTTGCGGTGAGCCGAGATCGCGCCATTGCACTCCAGCCTGGGTAACAAGAGTGAAACTCCGTCTCAAAAAAAAAAAAAAAGAAATTTCTTTAGGACGTTTCATCTGAATTGAAACTTTCCAAATTCTTGAGTTGAGCTATGTTCTTCACTCTAAATTAGTGGTAATTCAAGCAATTTAGTGTCATAAAATATTGTTGACACCACCTGAAAATCTAGTTGCCACCACCAATTTTTGATTGAGTAATACCAGGTAGTAAAATTAAAAACCCCAGAAGCAGGGCTGGACATGGTGGCTCAAGCCTGTAATCCCAGCATGACGAGGCAGGCAGATCACCTGAGGTAGGGACTTTGAGATAAGCCTGACCAACATGGTGAATCTTCATCTTTTACCAAAATACAAAATTAGCCAAGCATGGTGGAGCACACCTGTAGTCACAGGTACTCTGGAAGCTAAGGCAGGGGAATTGCTTGAACCAGGGAGGCAGAAGTTGTGGTGAGCCGAGATTGCACCATTGCACTCCAGCCTGGGCAACAAAAGCGAAACTTTGTCTTAAAAAAAAAAAAAAAGACAACTACGAGTTCAAAGTATTTTCTAAATATTTAGAAATTTCTGGCCAGGCGTGGTGGCTCACGCCTGTAATCCAAGCACTTTGGAGGCCAAGGCGGGCGGATCACCTGAGGTCGGGAGTTCAAGACCAGCCTGACCAACATGGTGGAACCCCATCTTACAAAAAAAAAAAAAAATTTTTAGAAATTTCTGTTATTGATTAGGATTTTGGTATTAACTTACTAGAATATTTTCTCACATGCTCTCTGAGCACATTACTAGCTTGTAAGTGGAGAATATGAGCCAGATTCATGTTATTTATTTTTAAATAAAACAGGTATTGCTGTTTCTAAGACAGACCTGACAACTGGCTGGAGCAAGGAAGAAAACCTTTGACTATAAAGAGACATGGGATGATTGCCGCACCCCCAGGTAGGTGCCAGTGAAAATGAATACAACAGAGGACACCGTTAAGCGGTCCCAAGGTCAAAGAGAAAGCCAGCCCTTAAAATGTGATGTGGGAAGCTGTGTGCCAAAGAAAACACTTCTGGGCAGCTAATTTTTTTTTTTTTTTTTTTTTTTTTTTCAAATTTTTCTCTCGCAAAGGGACATGTTCTGTCTGGGCTTTTAAATTCTCTAAAGATTCTACTTTGCTTTTAGTGAGCTTCCTTCAAGGTTGCAATGAGAACCAAAGTCCTCTTCATGGCATATAAGTGACTGCATAATCTGGCTGCTTTTTTATTGTTCTGGGGACACACAAATATCTGCATGATTTTTAGAAACAAACTAATTTTTAAGTCCTCGTTTTGCATCAGGTCTGAAATGTGTGAGAGCAGGAGTTTCTGTAGCATTTGTTTGTTTATTGTTCTACACAGTCTATTCTGTTTTTATTACTATATCATCTTGAAACATACTCTGAAATTGTAAGTATGATATCCTGCTTTGTTCTTTTTCCTCAAGATTGCTGTGGCTAGTCAAAGTTTATTTTAGTTTCATGTAAATTTTAGAATTATATTTTTCATTTCTGTGAAAAAAAAACTGCAATTTTCACAGGAAGTTTATTGAATATATAGATCACTTTGAATAATATGGCAATTTAATAATATGTATTCTTTCAATCCGTAGACACAAACTATTTTAAAATTGATTTGGACATTCGCTAATTTTTTTCATTGGTTAGTTATATTGTAAAGGTTCTTTACCTCCTTGGCTAATTTTTTCTCGGAAATATAATATTTAATACTATAGTAAATAAGATTTGTTTTCTTTTTTAAATTCTAATTTTTCTTTATTTTATCAGACAGTTTTTTTAAGTGTATGAAGGCATACATATACTTGTATGTTAATTTTTTATATTGCTAATTTACTGAGTGTACATATTCATTTAAACAGATTTTAATATACTGTTTATTTATTTATTTATTTATTTATTTATTTTGAGACGGAGTTTCGCTCTTGTTACCCAGGCTGGAGTGCAATGGCGCGATCTCAGCTCACCGCAACCTCCGTCTCCTGGGTTCAGGCAATTCTCCTGCCTCAGCCTCCTGAGTAGCTGGGACTACAGGCACGCACCACCATGCCCAGCTAAGGTTTTTGTATTTTCAGTAGAGACGGGGTTTCACCATGTTGACCAGGATGGTCTCGATCTCTTGACCTCGTGATCCACCCGCCTCGGCCTCCCAAAGTGCTGGGATTACAGGCTTGAGCCACCGCGCCCAGCCCTGTTTATTTTTTTATATAAGATTGTATGATGTAAAAACAGCAACTTTTTACTTATTTTTCTTCTGTTTCAATGTATCTTTTTATTTCTTTGACTAATTCATCTGCATACCTCCAGTACTACATTAGAATAGAAGCATTGACCATGGACACAATATAATTTGTATTGGTGTCTGAATTCCATGGAGCAAGCACCTCTTCAAGTGTTCATAAACTGATTTTAGAAGGTAAGGATCTTCTTCTGTTGGGCCCTTAGGGTGCTGAGATGCCCTCTGACTTTGTAGTGGGGAGGGGTTGGAGCTTTATCACGAGGCTGCTGGGTCTGCACGAGGGTCCACCTTTAGTTGGCTTGTTACAGGGGCTTGGGTAGTTGTAATTCCCATTTTATTTTTGGACAGACTGCATATCCTTTAGGACTTGGCTCTGTTGGGCAGACACTAGGGCATGTTTTGGCAGTTGGATTTGCATATGGTGGGCCTTGTATCAGGATGTGGATGAGTATGGTTTTCACTGAGTACCAGAAAGCATTTCCTCAGGTAACTGTGTGGGTTTCTATATAGGCAGAAGTGACCATAAACTGTGGCTCAGGTAACTGAAACTGAGTCATTGAACCTCTTCAGGGACTACAGTAAAGGCCAACGTGTGCAGGCCTGCCCTCATGGCTGTAGGTTGTTCTGTCACCCAGGCTGGAGTCCAATGGCATGATTTTTGGCTCACTGCAACCTCCACCTCCTGGGTTGAAGTGATTATTCTGACTTAGTCTTCTGAGTAGCTGGGACTACAGGTGTGGGCCACCACGCTTGGCTAATTTTGGGGTTTTTTTTGGATTTCACCATGTTGGTCAGGCTGATGTCTATCTCCTGATCTCAGGCAATCCACGCGCTTCGGCCTTTCCAACTGCTGGGATTAAAGGTGTGAGCCACCGCGCCCGGACCCATGTAGTATTTTGTAGGACTGTGCTAGTGCTGATGAACACCCTCAACTTTTATTTTGGAAAGTCTTTATCTTTTTTGAAGTAAAATAATTTTGAATCAAGTATTACTGGTTAGAATTTTATGTTATTTTATTTTGTGTGTGTGTTGTGGGGTATGGTGGCTCAACCTGTAATCTCAGCACTTTGGGAGGCCGAAGCAGGTGGATCATCTGAGCTCAAGAGTTCGAGACCAACCTGACCAACATAGAGGAACCCTGTCTCTACTAAAAATACAAAATTGACAGGCGCGGTGGCTCACGCCTATAATCCCAGTAACTTTGCGGGGCTGAGGTGGGTGAATCACCTGAGATTAGGAGTTCAAGACCAGACTGAGCAACATGGTGAAACCCCATCTCTACTAAAAATACAAAAGTAGCCAGGTATGGTGGCAGCCGCCTGTGATCCCAGCTATTTGAGAGGCTGAGGCAGGAGAATCCCTTGAACCCTGGAGGAAGAAGTTGCAGTGAGCTGAGATCGGGCCATTGCACTGAAGCCTGGGCGACAAGAGTGAAACCCTGTTTAAATAAATAAATAAACAAATAAAAATACAAACTTAGCCTGGCGTGGTGGCCTATACCTGTAATTCCAGCTACTCCAGAAGCTGAGGCAAGATAATTCCTTGAACCAGGAGGTAAAGGTTGCAGTGAGCTGAGATCGTGCCACTGCACTCCAGCCTGGGGTC